GGCGGTGGGGCTTTGCTCTTTTTCGGAGGAAGGGCCGGCGTGGGACTTTCAGAACGGCCGTCTCCTCCGTCGGAAAAGGCCGAAAAGCCAAACGAGTCGCCCTAGTCAAACAAAGGCCTTGTTGAGCAAAGCAAAGACACTGGGCTTTTTTAGTTGACACTTACCTTGTTGCTAGTGCCATTTCCAAATGCATCAAAATTGGCAAAATTGTCAGAAGCACCAAAGGCGTCTGCGGCTTTGGCCGAATTGAAGGGATCATCTAGGCGAAATTTTGAATCAATAAATCAATGAGAACATCAATGTGAAGCCATACCTTTAAATGGATCTTCTCCCGCAAATGGATCAGCATTAAATTCCGCCTTAAACTCATCAAGGCCTGCCGATTCAAGTTCCACAAAGGGAGGCGGTGTAATGCTGCGAGGCAAGAGGGAGGCAATCTTGACAAAGTCCTGGTTCTCAATGGCATGATCGTAATCACTGATCATCTCATTGACTCGCCGCTCATACTCTTCCAGCTCAACGTAATTGGTCTTTATTTGGCTAATTTCCAGCTGAGTATCGGTAGCATTTTTAGACGCCTGCTCGGCTTCACCCTTTGATAGGGTCAACTTTGACTCGAGTCGAGCTTCTTCATTTTTCAAGTCTTCAAACTCTTTTCGCTTCAAATTCAAGTCTCCGTCTTGCTCGTCAATCTTTTTCTTTTGTTCCAGGTACTGCTTGTTGAGACTATCGACCTGTTTTTGCAACAAATAAAATGTCCAGTTAGTCAGTTACAAGACCCCGGTAAACAAATAGTTCCCAACAACATGCCTTTTGCGTTTCCAAGCAAAATTTTGTTTTTAAGTCATGCAAGTTAGCCTCTAAACCTGTTAGCTATTGGCAAGCCAACGTAATTAATAACAATGCCACACCAAAGATTAAAGTGTCATGCAATGAAGCAGTATAGAGAAGGAAAAAGTTGAAAGGTAAATGGACGTAGATTTGTGGTTGCTCTAGAGTTGCAAACCTGTGAATTGAGGTCGTCTAGACGCTTGGATGCGTCATTTTTCTGGTTTTCTAGTTGCTTTAGCATCTGTGAGAGAGTTTCAATCTCATTTTGAATACTTTTGATTTCACTTTGTTTAAGTCGCAGTGATGCTTCTTCAGACGTCACCTCAGACTCGTATTTGACCTTTTCCCTAAATTGAAAATTGACAATTAATGCATGTCTAAAAGGGTGTGAAATTGCACTTGCATTTGCAGCTGTTTAATTTCTTCATTCAGGTTATCCAGTTCCTTGTTTCCAGTTGAAGTTTGACTACCGTTGACATTTTCAGAGCTAGTGGATTCCTGAAACAAGTGACGATTGCGTGAGCACAAGTGAAAATGGGCAAAATCGTCTTACAGTCGGTTTGGGTCTCAATGTGGGCGGAACCATGTGAGGAGCCAATTGCATGGGCAACTCTAAGCCACTTTGTTTTTGTTTGATAAAGTAATTTGCTAAAGCAAACTGCTCAGAGTTTAGCATTCCGGTTCCCTTTATGTCACACAAGTTCCTGCAACGCAAAAAGTTGGTCAAAAGTGTCATTCAACGGAGAAAGCAAACTAACCAAATGTGCGCTAAAACGTTTTGCGGGAGTCCGCTTTGCATCATTGTGTCCTTGACGTCGAAACCATTCACTAAACCGTCATTGTCCTTGTCTAGTTTAATAAAGTTGGCTTCATATACTGCTCTGTCTTCAGTGGGAACAATCCACTGAGGAATGGTGCTGGGTTCGGCCTGGAAAAGATGGTTTGCTTTGAAAAATAAAAACAACAAACGAGCACACAATACCTCGCTAATGAATGACTGGGGTGAGGAAGAAATGGGAGACAGTTTCAAGTTTAACTGCTGAACTGATGTTTCCAGCGGATTAAAGTTGAGTAGTTCGCTTGGAAGCTGGGGAGGCAATAGCAAACCCTGTGACGCCTTGGCAATGAGGTGGCATGACTGCAAAGATGTTGATTGGTGGTGAGAGGTTAGCGAGTAAATCTGCAGAATAAGCTTACGAGAATAAACTCTTTCATGTTGAGAAAGCCGTCTTGGTCAATGTCGCTGAGATCCCAGACTTTGGTCAAAAGTTCGACTGGCAACTTGGAGTTGACCATGTACGGCTTGACTTTGCTTCCAGCCAGTTTTCCATCAATTGGATTCAAAGAGTTGTACACTACTTTGTAGTTTTCAACGTTTTCTTTAGAGATGCTCCAGTCGATGCAACTGAGCACGTCGTCAGACTAGAAAAGAAGGCCTGTTGTGAAACATGTGTGGTGAAACCAGGTGGAAACTTACGATAATTGGCGGTGGGACTGATACTTTAATGTCGGTGATATTGAGCGGTTTTCCATTTTGAACCATGGCTATCAACTTGAGAGAGATGAAAAAAGACTTTTTGTCAAGGTAGCCTAGGCAGTTTGGATCGCTAAGATCCCATATCTGAAAGTAGGTGCACAAAAAGGTTTAGAAAATTGTTTAGCAAGTGTGCTGAGGCTGGCGGGCGTACATTTTTTAGCGTAAGCTGGTTAATGCCAGATTTTCGGAGAAAGGTGGCTGCATCTAGCGCTTTGATTATATCAGAGTTGGTGGGATTAACCTGTGCAGGGGTGGAGAAGGTTGCAAAAAGGTAAAGGTCACGTGAAACGGTTTGTGGGTCAGCCGTACGGTCTGCTGTGGGTCATTACCTCGCGGAAAAACTGTTCATAGGCGGCAAGATGAACACCTGCAATCTAGTGAGAGGGAAAGTGAGGCGGTTAGAGAGGCCGGTGAGTGACACGTGGACAAACCTCGTTTAGCGAGATGGACTCCATGGTGTGGCCGCTGGGAGCCTGCTGGTGGGAAACCCGAGGGGACTAGAGCGGCGGCGGCGGCACGTCAGTTGGATCAGCAGTGGGAAACACAAGCAGTAATCAGCAAAGGAGTAGGCTAAATAGGAGCGATTTCGGTGACCATGTCTACGTCTGCGTCTAGAGTATGGGCAACTGTCGACATGCGCTCTCTGCACTGCGAGGTCGAGCAGCAGCGCGGCAAAACAAACCACCGCTACCACCACAACAGCCAACAACAGCAGACTGCTGTTACAGCACTGATAAGACACTTGGGCCACCACCGAGATTGACTTTCAGCCATCAGGCGGACATTGACCAGTGTGG